CCCCAAAACCCCAAAACCCCAAAACCCCACACAACAAAATCTCCATTGAATGAATAATCATCTTACCTAAAATTACCCCTTAACTTACCACTTCTTCCCTTACTAAAACTCACCCACCTTCATTCCTTCTAAACCTAAGTATGTTCCTTACTATCTACACTCATAAACTACCCATGCTTACCATATTCCACTTTGATTCCTCTGAACGCAGAGTCGATCTGTGATTTATCTGATCTATTCATGCCATTGCAGTGGATACAGAGTCTTTCAGTGATCTTGGAACTCAGACTCAGGATTGAGACCAAGTGAGGGAAAGGATAGATGATACCTATAATGGATATTTGTTTTAAAAGAGTAAACTGGAGGCTGAGAGACTTGAGTCCTCGAGGGATTTTGGCTGCGAAAGTGGAGAAAGAGTCTGTGGAAGGGTTAGTAAGAGAGGGCTGGGTTGGTTTATTAGCTTTGACCATTAGAATCTTAGCTTACCCTCCTCAATCTTATCAAGATTACTTATTTCTATGCTTTCCATGTTTTCCAATTCAGACTTATCCATGCCTTCCAGCCTTTTCTTGTCTGATCCTTTTGACATGTCTAAGACAATACTTGTTGGGACAGCTATACCAAAAATATATTCCCTCTCCCTCCTAAACATCTAAATCTTCAATCCAAAAGCAAATTCTCCACCACTAAAATTGCAAGTGGCCAATTCCACTCAAACCTATTCCCCTGACTAATATAGTTAAGTTACCGGCTCTCTTAAAGACATCAGGAGTCTTAGACTCTTCTTTAGGGTCGGAAGGAGATGCACATGGAGACTGGGCTTTGTGAGAGGATTGGACCTGAGGCTGTTTCATTGAAGTTATCTCTGCTTTAATGTTTTGAACAAGTTCATCATAGTTACTCTTTAGATCTTTAATCTGAGTCAGATGCTCCTCTCTTTCTGTCTGATGTCTAACAAGATCTCTGTCAAGTTCAGTATTTCTCTCTTCGAGCTCTTGAACTCTGGCTTGTACAGCTTCAAGCTCTACTAGTCTTTGTTGGGCAGCCTCAAGGTCGTTGGCGAATTGCTCTCTTTGTCTTGCAATTTCTTCTTTACTATTCAACAATTCTGCAATCTGGCCTCTGTAGTTTCTTTCTGTAGCCGCTTTTTCTCTTACGAGTTTCTCAAGGTCTCTTCTGAGCTTGTAATTTTCTTGCATTGCAACATTGTCAGCTAGGACTTCGTTGGAACTAAGTCTGATATTCTCAGCATGTTGATAGTGAATGAAGTCTCTGAATATTTGGCTTTCATTCAACTCTTCAACGATTGCATCTAAAACATAAGAACTTATTGTTCAAAGACAAGCTATGTAATTACCTGTCTGAAGTTCGAGCTGGCTCAGTTCAGGCCAATTCTTGTTATGTAAGAGTTCTTTTAATGTGGCTCTACCTTGGACTGCTCTCTGCTCGAAGCTTTCAAGGAAATCTTTGAAGTCTCTCCATGCTCCTGTGATAGCTGACTCTTGACCAACACAAGTCTTTAAGATAAATAAACGATAAACTCTTACATTCTTGATCGCTTGTATATTAATTTCCACTATAGGTACATTAACCACAAATCCTTCAATTTTACAAGGTATTCATAAACCCTCCGAACAAGTCAGAAAACGAAGTGTAATGAAGAGGAACTATAACAATCCAAATTATTTGATCAACCAAATGGATACCTGTCACTACCTCGCTAATAAGGCTTCTCCTCACATCAAAACACAAAATTACCAAGCCTTACCATATTCCAATGACTTTACAATCTCCTCAGGGTCAGTAAGCCTGAAACTCTCTCTCTTAAAGTACTTCTGCTTCTTTCAGCATCCACACACATATTTACCAACACAAGGTACAAAGTGTTTAACCTTTCTCTTGCAATGACTAAGCTCACAAGTCAAATCTTCAAATTTGCTCATTTCTAATTTAATATTATTAAAATCATAAAGTTCAACCTATTTATAGTGTCACGGGGTTTTGGGGTTTTGGGGTTTTGGGG